TCACTGCAGAATGGTTAAATAAATTATGGTACAACTATGGTAGAGAATACTATAGTATAGGTAAAGATAATGAAGTGAATCTATATTTACTCATATGAAAAGCTCTCCAAGATCTTCTGTTAAATGTGAGGGAAGAGGTAAGTTGCAGCACTAATGTCTAATACCATCGACCTCTAGAGAGATATCCTCCACATTGTTCAACTCTGCAAGGAGGTCTGTAATTGAAGGAATAACTAAAGGAGAGACTTTGGTTTTGTTTGTTGCGTTTGATTTTTTCCAGTAAGGATACATTTAAGAAATCAGATGGATATTTATTATGTTTGTAGAAGCATTATTCATGGTAGCCAAAACGTGGAAGCAACCTAAACGTCCATCATCAGAAGAATGGATAAACAAAAGGTGGTATATCCATACAAGGGAAAGTTACTCAGCCCCAAAATGGAATAAAGTACTGATTCCTGTTGCAACATGAATGAACCTTGACAGCATTATGCTAAGTGAAATAGGCCAGACACAAAAGGACAAATACTGAATGATCCCACATATGTAGGGTACCTAGAGAAGTCAAATTCATGGAGACGGAAAGTAGAATGGTGTTTACCAAGGGCTGGGGAAAGGAGAATGGGGAGTTGGTCTTTGACCCGCACAGAGTTTCAGTTGTGGAGGATGACCAAGTTCTGGCGATGGTTGGTGGTGATGGTTGCAGGGCAATGTGAATGGACTTAATGCCACTGACCTGTACACTTAAGAATTGCTAAAATGGGCCGGGCGTGGTGACTCACGCCTGTAATCCCAGCACTTTGGGAGGCCGAGGCAGGTGGATCACTTGAGGTCAGGAGTTCAAGACCAGCCTGGCCAACATGGCAAAACCCTGTCTCTACTAAAAATACAAAAATTAGCTGGGTGTGGTGGTGCATGCCTGTAATCCCAGCTACTCAGGAGGCTGAGGCAGGAGAATCACTTGAACTCGGGAGGCGGAGGTTGCAGTGAGTCGAGATTGTGCCATTGCACTCTAGCCTGGGCAACAAAGCAAGACTCCATCTCAAAAAAAAAAAAATTGTTAAAATGGTAAATTTTATGTTATGCATATTTTACTACAATAAGAAATGTTACACAAAAATAAGACAAACAATTACAAAAATAATAACAGTATAATAATAATAATATTTGAACAATTGTAAAATAATAGTAATAACAACATGCTTCTGGGTGTTCAGCTCATGCTAAAGGATCCCTTTCCATAAAAAAAAAATATATATATATACACACACACATATACACATATACGTATATACATATATACTGGGCCATATATTGCCAAAAAGATAAATATAGAACCAAGCTTAAAATAAAAAATGTATGATACACAGTGCCAGAAACAAAAAAAGGAATCCAGAGACGAAAGCAGAAGCTGAGATAGAGGAGATCCGTGAATCCCATGAGTCAGACGAATAAAGAAAGAGGCTCCGGGATCAGAGCCTAAAAACCGCACTGTGAACTCCACCAACCCGACCTCAGCCTGTGGATGGCAAGGAGCTGATGTGGCACCCACTTTACAGCAGGGACCCTTGAAGGGCCATTCCTTCCTTACAGGAACTTAAAAAAAGAACCTTCCTAGCGGAAGCGGCAAAGAAACCATTCACAGACAGTGAGAGAGAAAATTCACACATGAGTAATTAAAACCCTAAGCCTGTGCCACTTCTGGGTGTAGGGTCTAAATTTACACCACCCATGTAGAATGGAAACTCTAAACTATAAATTTAGCCTATAAAATATTCAAGATTAGTGAAACACTCAGGCCCAGCAGGAAAGAAAATAAGGCCGGTCTTTATGAGGACATTTTCCCAACCTAGGGCACACAAGACTCCCCCTAAAAAGAAGAGAGAGGTACGTGTGAGAGGCACGCACGCGCACGCGCACACACACACACACACACAGAGCAGAATTAGCACCCTTGAGAACTGGAGGGATGAGAGCAGTCTGAAAGTGCTGATGAAATATATGACTTAAATGGTGAGGGAGAGAAAAGGTGAAATACAAAACAGAATTCAGGCTTAAAAGGAAGAAGGTCGGCTCCCTTTGGAATGTGTGGAGCATAAGGAGTCTTTAGGACATCCGGGTAGAGGTTAGCAGGAGGTTACCGAAAATGTGAGGGTGGGGCCCAGAAGAAAGGTCCTGGCTAGAGATACAGCAGGGAGTTGCCATGGAGGTGGCTGGAGCACCATGGAGGCAGTGTGACTGACCAGAGTGTCCAGCATGAGGGCGGGGGATGCCTGGAATGAGCCCTGTGTCTAAGGGCAGGAAACTTGAAGAAGACAGGAGGATCCGCTCTGTCTATGCCACCAATTTCGATTGCATTCCTTTCCAGGAAGCGTTCACGGATCTTCCTTTCCCCAAGACACTTCCCAGAGCCTCTCAGAGCCTGGACCCAGCCTGTCTTACTGTATAGTAACCCCTGGCTCTGATCTGTCGCTTCCACTCTGCTGTAAGCTTCTAAGGAGTGACAAGGCCATCCTGCTTGTCTCTGTTCCCCCTACACTGGGCACAGGGTCGAGCCTCTGTGATGGCTCCATAAATGACTATTGAAATGAATGTGTGTGTTCTGTCATGTTGTGGGAATTCACGTTATGAATCCACATGAGAACGGGACTCGGAAGGAGCTGGAAATCCAGCTGGCTTCCTCTTCCGCTTACCGTCTTTCCTCTCTTCTTCCCGCTCCCCATTCTGTACTGGGGAGAAACACCACCAACCCTCGGACTCAGGCAAGCACTGCCCTTCATTCAATCGTGCCTGAGCACCAGGAAGCATTTGTGAGGGCTGCCACTTGTGCAAGACTGGCCATGCTTCTCCCCCTTCCATCATTATAAGAATGACCTGCTATCGAAAGCACTTTGCAAATATCATCTCATTTAATCATCGCAGCTTTTTTACTAGTCCTCCACTCTGCAGATGAAGAAACAGAAGCCCAGAGAGGTGATGTGACTTTTCCTGACCACAAAGTCATGGAGTGGCATGGCTGAAGTTCAAACCCAGGCTTCTCTAACTCCAACACTGCAGCTTCTGCCTCTCTCCTGGACTTCCCGCTATGCCTCCTCATCCCCTGCCCTCCCATGCGCTCCCAACTCACTCTGCCTCTTGCTCACCCGAAAGCCCTTAGTTCACACTGGGTCTGAGTCATATACTGTTTAGCAGACAAGTGGGGGTGGGGGATGGGAAGGGGATGGCCAAATGCGTGGTACCAATCCAGATTTGTCTTTTCAAGGCTACAAGCACTGTTGTGGGGCAGGACCTAGAATCCATGACCCCTTCTAGGCCCCCTCTGGGTTCTCAGGATGAAGGAAAGAGCAGCAAAGGACCCACTGGCAGATACATGGCTATGAAGACTGGTACGTTGTCTCTGGATTGCCCTTGGGGGCCAGACTCAGAGCCCCCCACCCCTTCTCATGGATGGGACAGTGGTACAGGGCGCCTTTCCTTTCAGACTCATGGTTCCTTGAGCCTGACTTTGTTAGGGCCCAGAACTGTGCCAAGCCTTAGTCCAGTCAGGGAGGTGAAGCCCTGGACTGGGAATCAGAAGGCCAGGAATCTGTGCCTAATGTTGCCACCAGTTTGGGGGACCTCGGACAAGACGTGGCTCCTCTGAGCCTGGGTTCTTTGTTGGTTAGATGGGATGACCACACCAAGCCTGCCCATTTCTCAGGATGGGTGCTTTGGCATGAGGAGAGCTCTGAACCAAGGGGGCAGGGATGGGGATGAGAAAAGGAACAGGGACAGGACAAGATGGTCACCACCAAGACAGCTGCCACCAAGGCAGCCGTTCTTGTGAGCTGGGCCAGGACCATCTCACTGAACACCTCCTAAGAGCATGGCCTTGCCCACTTGGCAACTCTGGGCCAGAGCACAACTGCGAATGACAGGAGCAAGAGAGGAAGGAGAAGAGACGATGAGGAAGAAATAAAGTAGGAGGAGTGGTATGTGGGGTGGGGAACGAGGGATGGAAGAAACCAACCTGAGGGTAACAGGTACAGAGGTTAGCACCCTGCATCCCAGATGTGGTTCTAGCCCTGGCTCTGCTTCTCACTCCATTGTAACATTAATCAAATACAGCCCTCAGCTGAAGATCTCTGAGGTTCAGTTTTCCATATATTAGCTCAGATTTTATGACTTCTTCAGCCACGCTGTCCATTTGCATTTTAAAGCCTTGCCCCATTGCTTCACTGTCAGGAGCCCTTCCTGGATCCCCTCTCCTGCCCCCTGAAAGTCATGCCTCTCCCTTCTGAGCTAACAGCCCTCAGCTTAAGCCTGATGCATATATCTTGATTTATACAGTGTCACACATCACAAGACAGAGGTCTCAGATGAATCACCTTTGGTTGCTCCTGCCAAGCACTTACACACAGTAGGTGCTCAACGAGCTTGTGAGTGATGAACAATAGCCAAGCAGATGGATAGATGGATGCCAAAAAGAATCAGCCTGCTTTGTAGGCTGATCAAACTCCTGGTCAAAACTCTTCTCCAAAGAAAGCCTCCTGGATTAATCCCCAGCCATATACTCCTTCTTCAACAGCTCAGCCAAAGGAAATCCTGATTCTCACTGCTGTCCTTCTCTTTCCCCTTAGACCTCAGTTCCTGTCCTGCTCAAAGGCTTCTCCAACTGTCACCCTCCTTATTCAGCAGATTCCAATACCAAAGACCTGGCAGTCCAAGGAGCTTGGACCCAGGCACCTGCCATTTACCACCCGTGCCACTGGCGTGGTCATTCTATGGACAAAGGAAGATCTTTTGAAGTACCCTGGGGCTGTTCTGCCACAGAAAACCCTACGGAAGTCCCCATGAGAGTTCCTGTAGGTGGCAGAATCTCAGAGATGCTATGAAGGAGGAACCAAGGCAGATGGACTCTTCACAGAAGACCCAAGTCCCAGCCCCAGTTGCCAGCCCTACAGCCCACCCTGCAACACACCTATGTGCACATCCTGGTCATGAGAGAAGCAGAATCTCACCTTGATGCTCGTCCAGTTTCCCCATGGTCTCGATCTGCTCCACAAGGTCATTGGAGTTCCACTGGCTCATCCCAATGAGGATGGCATTCTTCCCTTCAGCCATCTCCTCTGTGGGAAGAAGCAGTGGTGAGCATGAGCAGGTGCAGCTAGGGTTAGGTAGCCTGATCAGGAGCTTATGTCTGAGAGACATTTTCTCTTATGCTCTTTCTTCCTTGAGTTGAGGTGTACCTCGACTAGGTACTGTAGCTAGACAGTTACAAGACTTTCAGAGATCTGTCATTGCAAGAAGGTACTGTTGTACTCTACTGGACCTCCACGTGCTACAGCAAAAGAAAGTAACAAAAAGCCTGAAACCCCATAAAAAGTACCATTCCTAGCACTGAGGGCAGTATCTCTTGAAAGTCAGTGTGTTTGGGAAGAAAGAGCAAAACCTTGTCATTTGCAAGCAGTTTTTCCTTAAATTACTGACTTCTCTGACCCTCGATTTTCCCGTCACTAAATTGGATCTGGCCACAGAGGTGTTGTGAGGATTAAATGAGATAATGGATGTAAAGGTCTTGGTGCAGAGCAGGTGCTCACAGATGACAGCCATGATGGTGATGTCATCACATGAGAAGTAACTCACCACCAGGAGTTGAGTGGATGAGTAACTGGAGGAGAAGAAACCTTCTGGTTCTAAGGAAGCTTTGAGCTGTATGGAACCTTTAGCCCCCATCTGAACTTTATGACCCTCTTAAAAAGCCTCCGTTCTCTCGCACTCCTTCCCTCAACCCTGTCTCTATCCTTGTTCTTTCCTTGTCTGAGCATAGTGATTCCTCTGGGAGAAACCAGTGGGGCAAGATTCCATAACCACACTGAAAAGAAGGCCCGGGGTCCCACACATTGCATACACACATCTAGTACCATCCCTCGTCCTACAAAGGGACATTTCTTCAAAGACAATCCCTTAGGCACGTGTGCTGTCCTCCCCACACTTTGCCCAAAAACAGATGTGCCTTTCTGGTGAAGAGCTTTGTGCCCTCCCTCACAGAACAGACATCAAAGGGTGTTGAGGACAATCTCCAACCTTATGATAATTAAGAACAAAGGGTTGAGATCCATTTCACTGCCAAAGAACTTTACCAACAGAAGGAATCAATATGGTGGATCTGAAGCTTTGGGAGCTGTCCAGAGTTCTGATTCACTCTAGAGCTCAGTTGACCAGACCCCCAGTTCTTGTTAGGACATCTCCTCCTGTCTTATTTTATGTATCTATTTGATTGACTTAACAACAATTATCTAACCGTTACCACACACTGAGATTAGTATAAGTGCTTTACAAATATTAACTCAATTCTCATAACAATACAAAAAAGGTACAATTATTGTTATCCCCATTTTATAGACAAGGAAACTGAGGAACACAGTAGCTGAGGAATTCTTGCCCAAGGTCACTGGCTAGAGTCAGGATTCAAAACCAGGTATACGGTTTCAAGAGTCCTGAAATCCTGCCATCCTGATAGCCTGCCCTGGACATCCTGTATTGGCTGCCCACACTCCAGCCAGGCACCACACACATTCGGACAATTTCCTGAGCCTGGCGTGTTCCATCTGGGAACTGGTTTATTCCGTACTGGGCAGAGCCCTGACCAGGTTCCAGTGCAGATCCTGCTGCATGTGAGCTTTGTGCTTTTCCACACCCTCCACCACTGTGTCTGTTTTCCTATCTTTTAAACAGCAATAACGACTCTGGCTCTATAGCTCTGTCTAGCAAGCTGCTGTGAGGACAAATACTACAACAAATTTGAAGATACAACACAATTTGAGGTGCTGTAAACAAATATAAGGTCATATTATTCTTCGGGAAGCAGAATTATGAAGAGGTTAAGAGCTCAATTCTGGCGTTAGACAGATTGCTGTCAATCCTGGGCCTACCATCTGCTAGCAATACAACTACAGTTTCCTCATCTAAAAAATGACATCATCGTAGTCCCTGTGTCATCGGATTGTGGTGAGGATTAAGTGAGATGATGCAGGTAAGGTGTTTATAAGAGTGCCCCCCCCCACCGTAAAAGCACAGGCTGAGATGCTATTGCACGATGGTGTCATCACCACCATCACCACCAGCAGCAGCAGGAGCGTGGGTGTCATGCCCCTACGCTCACTCTTGGTTCCACTCCTGCTGTTGTCGGCCCCTGTGACATGCTAGCCCAGCTCCAGAGTCAGGTAATCAGGATCAGCCTGATGACCACCTTGAGTTCTTTGTCTCCTGGTTCAGTTACTCACGCATGGAGCTATCCGTTTGTTCATTCTAGCATTCAATCTATGGTGAATAGATTTCTGAGCACCTACTGTGTGCAGGGTGAGACACGACCTCCCCCCTGCTGGAATCCAGTTTTGTGAAAAACATGATAGAAATACCTCTGACATGAGCTGGGAGCGGCAGGTATGCAGCAGGTGCTCAGCATATCCTAGCTCCCATTTCTTCTACGGTGCCATAAGTCCTGTCCCAGTGGTGCATGCAAGGCTAGTGGAACCCTGTGGGGTCTCCCAGGGCTCTGGAGGTCTGAGCATGCCTACTCCTGCACGGCCTGGGCCTCTTTCCCCTTTTTTCCTAATCACCAGTATAACCCTGCTCCATCTTTGGCTCTTGGGCTTTTGTCTGTTTCCGATCAAATATGTCTTTCTCTCCCACAGTATCAGCATGCTTCTCTCACGCTTTACATCTGGCCCTGACTCACTGAGATCTGAGCTCTCTGGACCCCTTTCTATGGGTCTGTGTCTCTCTTGGTCCTTGTAGTTCTCTTGGCCTCTCCCAAGCTCTCCCGTGCTGCCTGCCACATCTGTATCTCTCTCTGGGTGGAACGCGAATGCATAGCCTTGCTCTCTTCTCACCCCAGCACCTTTCTCTCTTTCCTTTCTCTGGGTCTCACTTTACTGGACTGGGTATGTTTCTCTCTCATTCTCTATGGATTTCTCTTTTGTCTCCCTTGGTCCCTGTCCTCAGGATCTCTCCAGCCCCTTGCTCCCTAAGGGTATTCTCCCTCCCCTCCCTGTTCTCTCTTGCTATGTGTGTGTGCACATGTGCATGTGTATGTGTGAGTGTGTGCATATGTGCATGTGTGTGCATGTGTGTACATGCATGTGTGAGCGCGTGCATGTGTGCATGTGTGTACATGTGTGAGTGCATATGTACACTGTGTGCATGTGTGTACATGCATGTGTGACTGTGTACATGCATGTGTGAATGTGTGCATATATGCATGTGTGTGCATGTGTGTATGGCCCTCTCTCCCTCCTGCTCCCTCTCACTCTCTGCTTTCTCGTACCTTCTCTGGCATTCTCACACTCCCTGCCCCTCCGCCCATCCCTGTCTCTCTGCTGCTCTGTGTACCCTCCCAACTCCCCAACATGCTTTCTCTCCCACACTCAACCTTTACGTCTTCACTCCGGCAACAATGGGCTTGTCTCCTGAGAAGCAATAAGAACACACACGCACACACACACACACACGGAAGCAGCAGCAGCAATATCTCCTTTTGGAGCCATTCAGGCAAAGAGGGGAGCTGCAGGGCTCAGCTTGAAGTCTTTCCTCTGCTTCCCACATTGTAGGACAAGCCTCCAACAGGACCTGTGGAGCCACACCGTGCTCATTTGTATAAACGCCCTGGTTGATTTTGCTTTTCACCTTCTGGTGACTGTCTCTTGCATGCTAATCCTTGTCCTGGTGATCTCTGCTGCGGACATGGTTTTAACATGTACTTCACCCTGCTGAGACCTGACCCAGCTCTGACTAAGCTCCAGGCTGAGCCTCATCCACTGTTACCATAGCCCTGGCCTTGACCACAGACTGACTCCCACCCTGGCCAAAACCTGGTTATACTCCTGTAAGCACAACTTCCAATGCTATAAGGAAAGCCTTTCTTCTTACCCCGGAGCTTCTGTTTCTACTGTTGACAGGACTCCAGAGTAAAAAATCTCCTTGTCTTCGCCAGGTGCAGTGACTCACACCTGTAATCCCAGGACTTGTGAGGCCGAGGCAGGCGAATCACGAGGTCAGGAGTTCGAGACCAGCCTGACCAACATGATAAAACCCCATCTCTACTAAAAATACAAAAAATTAGCTGGGCATAGTGGTGGGCGCCTATAATCCCAGCAACTTGGGAAGCTGAGGTGGAAGAATCACTTGAACCCGGGTGGCAGAGGTTGCCGTGAGCTGAGATCGCGCCACTGCATTCCAGCCTGGTGACAGAGTGAGACTCCATCTCAAAAAAAAAAAAAAAAAAATCTCCTTTTCTCATGCCAGGAAGGCTTCACCTCCAGCTCATGGAGCCGAGGGCTTGGTCACATTCTGCAGATGGCCCATCCAGTACCGCCCATCATCAGACCCACAACATGGACTTTTCCAAGGACCTAGACATGCATTGCTTGGAGCTCTGGGCCACAAGATTGCTCACATTCACCTTGCACTGCCCATCACGTGCCGCCATAGCCCCCCATAGCCAATACCATAACTCCCTCTTCCTTGTGAGGGGCAGTCCCTGCACAGCTCATCCCCAGACGCGTTGGGCCTGGTTCCATGGCGTTTTGTTTTCCACTTCCCCTCCCCCAATGGGGGGAAAGGTAGGGGGAGAGTGGGGGCCCACGGCACACCTGTGGTTTGCTTCTGTGATGGCTCCTTGGCCCAGGAATAATCATGCAGCTTCCCACAGTGACATCCTTCCACTCCCTCCAGGAGACAACACTTCTACCCCTGCCATTCTATAGATGAGGAACCTGAGGCTCAGAGACCCAAGACTTGCCTGAGATCAGACGGCAGCCAGTCAGTGACACAAGCATCACGGAAGTCTAGTCCTCTACGCCCAGAGGACACATAGCATTTTCTTCCACTCCCCCCTCTCTCACCCTTGGGGTTGGAAACCCCCAGGAGGCTAAGTGATCACAGGGAAAGCTCAGATCAAAGGCTTGGCATGTGCCCCCCATTCTCTGTGAGACCTGACCCTGACTTGGAGACTTTGTCTGTAAAATGGGATGATTTAGCCCTGCACTACCTTCCTCTGCCAGTTGCTATGGGAAACCAGGAGTTGGAGGCACAAGCAGATTCCGCAACACAGAGCCCAGCTTCTCAG